GGCCAAGAAGCTCCTCAGAGACCTAATGCCCTTCCTCGCGGGGGAAGTGCGGAGCCAAGTGGACATGGCGCTGCAGCACCTGGTGCAATGGACCACACAGCACTGGGGGGACGACGTGGAGCTTGTCGAAGAAACAGCGACGGGGGCGGCCAGTACCTCGGCGCCTACTACCACTGGCGGGGGGGCTACGAGACCTACTACCACCGCAGCCACAAGAACTAGAGGAAGTGAGGGGAGTGAAAGCAGTGAGCGCAAGAGTCGCAACATGGACAGTCCCAGCTCCCTGGACAATGATGACTAGGGGGGTCCGGTTCTTTGGGGGTGCTGTGGGGGTTTTGTGGGGGTTTCAGGGACCGTCACAAAGCCGGGGAGCTGGGACTGAACAAGCCGGGGGCCTGAGACCTGTACCGCAGCTAGAGGTAGGCCTGTTGACTTTGTCCTGTCCTCCTTCCACCCAGTGCTAGAGGCTCGTAAGTAGGGGGAACCCAGCGCAACAAGTTGAGTGCAGCCCAGAGGCCGTCCTGCAACTAGGGGTAGGAGTGCTCGAAGTGTCTGGTGTCGTTGTGAGTGCTAAAGGCCCAGTAAAGGCACACTCAACTTACAGGGGGTCAAAGAGAGCCCCACTGCATAGCCAGTTTCACGAACGGGGGGAGGCACTAGGGGAACTCATGCTTGGACTACCTCTAGGTTGTGCTGTTGCCAGGGGGAGAGTGCCACCCACGACAAAAACCCAATACGGGGGACACGCCCCAAAAACATTGGGGCTCTGCAGCGGTGGTTGCGATCACAAGCCCCTGATGAGAGCCATAGGGGCGCGGGGACGAGGCCTGCGTAAGGGTCGTAGCGTACAGGGATCGGGGGCTTGCCGTACAACCACCTGGGGCAGCTTTTGTCTTCCTCTGCCGCGGTCAGTGAAACCCCAAAGCCGGCCACTTAATAAACACAAAGGTGGTCGGGCGGGCCAAAGGCCTGAGGGTCTCCCCGCGGGACCCCTACGCCCGGCAGAAAGAAAGAAAGAAAGAGGGAGACGGAGACAGAGACAGAGACAGAGACAGGCAGGGAGCGAGGGAGGGCGGGAGAGGGAGAGGGAGAGAGACTCTGCCCACTCAGACAGCAGGAAGACAAACAGAGAATGTGTGGGTATGTCTCACCCTGTCACCATGCATAACTGAGTGAAGATTTGTATTTTTCTTAAACAGCAGAGGGGGGGTGCTTTGAACGATGTCGATGAGATGATGAAGTCAAGCATGATGACGACCGCGCCGCGGATGTGACTAATGAGACCCTCGAAGAGATTTCGATTCACAGATCAGCTTCAACAGCCTCTCTTCGACGCCAGTGCGAACCGCACTACGATGCGAGGGTGTCAGTTTCAACCGTGGTGTCTTGCAGAACTCCCCCGAAATCGTTGGACGCATGCAGCAGGTACAAAATACCATCTTTAAGAATCAGATGCAATCGATCGTCGACGGACAGAGCAGACAAACAAGTCCGGTGCCCACGATGGAATTTATCGGGAGATCGGGAGAGCCTGGTTATGGCATTGATGGGTTGAAGTACCATCTGTCTACGATGATTTTGCAATGTCGCCCATGTCATTATCATTGCAGGTGCTACACCCAGCCCTGGCTGCGACTGCCCCGTCGAAACCCATTTCTGAGCCACAGGCTCCAGCCAGAACCGATGACGTTGCAGTAAACTGGGACTTCTACGAGAAGAAACCAGTGGGTTCTGGTATGTTCTGGTGAGGTCTCGGATCAGCTACTACATGCCAAGGCGTGCCCAGACATGGAGTTCCCCTTAGGGCACGCTCCACTGCATTGCCCTCACCCAATCTCATGGAGACGCTGTGCACCTCCTGCTCGCCTACCGTGCCAATCCCAACCCGGCGGGCACCGACGAGATATCGGAAACAGCGATGGAACTGGCTGCGGTGCTGGATTCGGATAGGTTTGAAATCACGGTTCCACTCCTGGGCAAGGGTGCCTCCCCCCTTCACCAGTGGAGTGTTCGGGGTACACCATGGTACACCTGAAGGGTGCACCTCTAGCGGTTGCTGTAGCTGAAGGTCGTTGGGACGGCGTCAGCCTTCTGCACAGCTGCGTGCTGGAACTTGTGTAATTGGCCCCTGCTCGTTTCCATTGTTTTGCTCGGCCGGTGGCTTCCATGCCATGCACTACAAGGTCCCGCATTCGCGTGCACCTCGGCTCCTCGACACTTGGCCATTCACTTGGCTCTGCACACGGTTCGCTCTGCCGTCGGGCAGGTGACTTTCCCGCCTTTATTTTTAAAAATAACATCCGCTTTCGCCAGTGAGATCTCTTTCGTCACCAGCGAAGGCAACTCTTAAGTGGCGCCCCGATCATGATAGGCGTCTCACCGAAATTCTTTCACGCACGCCGAGAAGGGGGGGCGTAAAAGTGCACAGGCGTAATTCACCGATAATATTGAATTTGGCTACCACTGGACAGTATAGATCCATTGTCGGTTGCTTCCAGAGGCCGTTTGCAACCATAACGTGACACTTGGCTTCATAGTTCAAGCAAAACCCACAACATAATACGAGTCATCGCCTTCCATGTTGGCGGTTTGCATGTGATTGCTGTGTCTGGCGCACAGGAAACGGCAGAAATGCCTCGAAGCCGCTGCAGACTTCCTGCTGGCGGGAGGGCAGTTGTCAGCCAAGCCACCCGTCAGCACGGGCAGTCACGTTGTTTGTTGCGGCTTGCTTAGAAGATGTTAAAAGATCAAGAATTTCTAAGCATTCAATATCTTCCTGCCAACTGCAGGGACGATAATCCTTGCTCCGCCGCAGCGGTGCTGCTGCGACGTGGCCTTGGTGGTCGTGCCGTTTCGCACAGGCACCGCAACGCAGCTGGACACAGCCCACTACGAAGCTTCAGGCGACATGAAGTCAGATCACCAAAGAGCATGACGTCACGCGCCGCAAATTCGCTTCGCGAGGCAAAGCCATCTTGGCTGTGCTAGCCGAGTGAGCGCTGCACTAGATGCTGAAGATCCGAAGCAGGCAGAAGTTTGGCTGCGCAGGCGGCCGACATGATACTTCGTCCAGAACTGGAGGGTCTAATATGGTTTAATCATGCCAAGATCCTAAACTTCACAGAAGAGGAGTGGTGTCTTTTTGGAACTTCGGACCAATCATCGCCCTTTTCCTCGCAGGTCTCGACTACCACACGCTGAGGGAATAAAGCAGCAGAGTGGGTAGTGCACTTTCATGTGCCAGTGAAAATCCATGGTGATGGGTGCCCGGTGTGTTGACGAATCAACGGCACTGTCAGGTGGATGCAAATTGTTGCATGCCTTCCTCGCCTTACAGAGGCAGCGGCATCAGTTTCAGGTATCGATGCCTGGTTGGTGCTAAGAAGTCAAGAATTGTTATTCTAATATACAGATGTATACAGATATGTTCATAGTAGTAATATATATATATATATATATATATATATGTATATATATACATACATACATACATACATACATACATACGTATGTACGTATGTATGTATGATGTATGTATGTGTCAATCATCATTTTCGAAGAAGCAGCCCTTGCAGGGCACCTTGCAATATCTTGCACACCTTCCGCTTGCAGCACTCATTCCTACTCGTTGGCACCTGACCTGGGTCGGAGGTCTCGACGGCGGACAGCACAGGACCCAGAAGACGTGCGTCGATGAGAAAAGCCGTTATACAATTGATGTTGCTATCACAGTCCAGTTCGGCTGAGTGTATGTGTTCATGCTTCCTGCAGGAAGCTTGCTTCTCCTTGCTTAAAGCTCAAAAGCGCATGCCGTAGCAGGGAGGATAGTTTCATGGAGGGACCACGAAGTCTCGCCGTTAATGCGCCGACAGGAAGATGTGAGACGGTCCATGCAGGACAGAGGCAACACCGGCAAGCCAAGCCCCCAGCAGAGATACCGGGAATCTGCAGAGGAGCGCGGGTTGGCAGCAGCCGCCCGGCTTGCCGCAGCAGTCGCAGCTGCGACAAGCCATCACCCCGCTCCAGCCGTGCAAGCACACGCATCTGCGGAGAATTTTCGACTTCGCCGTCACAGCACTGGATGTCGAACGGCACCAGGACAGCCAACGCCGTCGGTGCGACAGGCATGGACCGATGACCGGCAGGATGCCAAAGAGCGCCCTCGCGAGGGCCCTCAGCCGGAGATGCGAGCGCGCGAAACTCGCCAGCCGCGCGTCGCGCCGGGCGAGGTCGCTCCACGTGTTGACACATCCCCGCTGCGGCCACGCCTTGCACGTGCGCAAAGCGCGCGACGACCCACGAGACCTTCAGCTCCCGCACGGGCGCGCAGTGCCGACCCTCGCCGGCGTCAGGAAGGAGCCTTTGGCGGCTTTGTGCCCGAGCGAAGGGAGGCGAGCCGGAACAAGAAGGCTACAGTACGCCTAGGCCGAGTGGCAGTCATGTCAGGAGGCAGATCCGTCGCTCCTGGAGGCAAGATGTCAGTGCGCCGATGGACCAGTGCCGAAGTGTCGCACAGACAAGGACCTTGCGAAGGCAGAGAAGCCAAGGCCATCCGGTGAGGGGCCAAGAACATGGCATGCACATCAGAGTGGGAGCTGGGTCTCCGCTGAGGTCCAGTAGGCATCCCAAGTCCCAGGCCAGGCGGGAGCGAAGAGCGATATGGCTGCTTTTGTCTGGTCCTGGGAGAGGCTCCATGGGGCACAAGCCGCTGGGGCACGTCGCAGCACCGGGCAGATCCTTACTGCCACGGTCGCAGCCGTGGCATCACGCCGTGCGAGCACGGGCAGCATGTCGCAGGCTTAGAGAGCTTCAAGACCGCAACTGCTGCGCATCTGAGTCTGGATGCCGATCACATCCGATCACATAAAGCGCGAGTCATGGCCCGAAGCCCCCAAAGCCGGTCGCCACCAAGGTCCATCATGGATCAGCAGCCAACACCGTTCAGGAGTTTGAGCAGCAAAATCTTCTCCGGATCGTGCGACCTTGAAGCGAGATGTGCAACATGCCACCACACATCCAGGCACTAGGAAGACTTTTGGCAACCTCAAGCCTGCTTGCCGCCTTCCCGAAGGTATTCCGTGGCCAAGTTCTTGGGCCGAGGCGCATCTGCCAGCGTTTGGGAGGCGCCCCTGCCGGAAGTGCAGTCATCTCCCAGGGTCTCCTATCTCAGAGACAAAGACAAAGTAGACTCGGGTTATGTTGTACTTCAGAAGCTCGCTTTGTCTCCAAGTGTGCGATTCAGGAGGCGCATGACGAAAGGGCATTCAACCGTTTGATAGACATACCGGCCGGACCTTCTAAGCATTCGATTAAATGATCTGCAGGACATGCTGCGTCGAACATGCGGATCATACACCATGTTTCGTTTCAGCACACCGCATGAGATGCCACTTAATGTCGCAACATTGCTGCATGTGTCCGTAACTCCGCCCAAGAACCACCAACATCGCACCCCGACCCAACAACAATTGCAGTAGCAGCAGTGGGCGCAGACAGCCACGTCCACTACATTTCTTGGGGCCTCGTGCTGCCAGGCTGTACGGAGTGACAACGAGCAGCGAGTAGCTGTGAAGGCAGCTGCAGAGACGGCGTGGACGTGGACGCTTTCACTTCGCTTTCGCTTTCTGTGTGGGCAGGTTTTCGACCAAGGGCAGCGGGACAAGCGCCAGGCCCATCGAGAGGCTCCGCAGCTTCGCAACATTTCGCAACATGGTACTTGCTTGGTTCGGATGCATGTTCTCAGTGACTTTGCGAGATCATGCGGCCGTTTGCATGTCAATTGTGATTGCCAGATGAAAGTGCTATCGAGGGTGCGACACCCTCGTATTGTGGAGGCATGCCCATGCCGCGTTGAAGAAGCTTCGTGGTTCAAAGTTGGCAACACAGACGTGTGAGATGTAGATGCTTCAGGCCTTTGAGGTTATCGAGACGCCGCGCTATGCGCAGTTGGTGTGCGAGGTCCTGTCCAAGCCCTTGCAAGCATGAGCACACCTGTTTTGAAATGTGCTAGAAGTCATGGTCATAATCTTCCTGGCATTCGGCTCGGAGCTACTTGGCAAACCGTCAGCAACAGCTGCAAAGTCATCTGGTCATGACATGTTATGCCTGCTATGCTTTCAGCCTCACTTCATCAACATCCGAAGTGTGTTGCTTCAGCAGTTCTCATTGCAACAACAGCGTCATCTTGTCGCATCTTGTCGCGATGTCCTGGCTCAAAAACGCAGTCACAAAAGTCGGAGAAAAGGCTGAGGCCTTTGACGACTTCGGATTCCAGATGTTAGAAGCAGTTCGGCACAGCGTGTCAGTAGCTGGTGGCAGCTTGACAGGCGATCAAGCATAGCGAAAGGTTTCAACGACTACAGGATGGAGGGAGTGCTCAACGTGCATTGATGAGTCGTGTCGCAGACGCGAGATGCCTGCGAGGAGAGAACAAGTGTCGTCGTCGCTTCTGCCGCTGAGGGGGTGAAACGGGCACGTGAAAAGATTGGCCACATGTCAGCGGTCTATTTTCCGAGCTGAAAGCACAGTCCGAGCTTCCGGCTGCCTTTCGTTTGCACCACCTCACCCAATGAAGGTCGACCTGCCAACGCGATCGAGTTTGAAGCGCAGCTCGAAAGTCGAGCCAAATCGACTCGTGCTCCGAGCATCTCCGAGACATGTTGCAAGTTTTGCGCAACGTCTGTAGGTACACTGGCCGGTATTGTCGAGATGCACAAGGCAATACTGTGGCAAGTTCGGCTGCATCGCTCATTCTGCGGCGTGAACCAGAAGTGCTGCAATGGCCCGCAGTCCTGGGTCCAGAGCATCTCAGCAGGCAACAAGGAGGGGCCGCGGGCTGGCGCCTCGAGCTTCCGAACTTCCGGTGTCTTCGTAGGATTCCTTCGGCCGAGGTGGTGTCTGGGGACCACGAGCTTGGATTCAAGGACCGATGAAGACCGAAGATACTTTGGTTTTGTCTTGTGAAGCGCTTACAGCAGATCCTGAGGAAATGTTCCTTCAGAGTCGCGCATTGGAATATTCCATGGAGGCGGGCTGCTTTTGGCTGTCATTGCCTGCATCGATATGCTGAAGGAGGACACGACTTGAAATTTTGTTTGTGTGTGTGTGTGCGCTTGTGTGTGTGTGTGTGTGTCATTGCTTGTGTTTGAGAAGTTCATGCTTGAGGTCATTGTTTCGGAGCCTTCATTGCGAGAGGCACCCTGCAGACAGAACGTGGTTCCATATGGTGTATAGAGACATCTGGTGCATCATGGCGCAGCAATACGTGGACCCGCCGAACCCAGACGACAAGACCTCCGCCATCGCAACTTCCTGAGGATGCGTGCCGGGGCTGCGCGTGTCACAGGTGATCAAACTACGGCTAAACTACTCAACGAGGCATGCCTGTACGAGCTTTTCTCCAAAACTTTGGCGCCTGGCTCCTGAAGAATTGCATGGATCCCAAGAGAACAGGGTTAGGCTAGCACGGTCAGGTTTCCAGCTTCTCAGTGGCAAGGCTTGATACGAGTCCGCATCCTAGGCTTTGAGCAAAGTCTGCCGCTGTGTCAAGCTTGCACCGGCATGCATCTATGTCTTGCTGTTCAGTGTGTTGTCAGACACTTTCAGGTGGCAATGACTGAAGGGTTGCCACGCCGGGCACCCTATTCCATGTGGTACGTGTGTGATGCACGCCGGTGGCTAAGCTGGTTAGATGTTGATGGTCAGGCGAGGAGCAAGCCACGTGGCTTACGACCGCCATCACAGCGATGAAAGCTGACTGGTCGAGCTGGCTGTTTGCGTTTACATATAATGCAGGAGCCAGATAGTCACCGAGACGTAGCCGTTTCAGCAATCTTGATTTATGTGAAAGCACAGCTTGGTGAAGGGACGAGCCTACGACGATACACAAAGCATATCAAGACACACAAACAACAGAAATCTGCAGCAGAGGAGGCCATAAACCAGCGAAACTGGAAACGCATTAATGGGGGGGAATCTGGTGGTAGATCGACAGATCCACCTCTGCCTCGGTCCAGTGCCAGCATGGCGGCCAGGGCGGTGTTTGCTTTGCTGTAGCCAGGCACCTGCGCTGTAAATTACCGTGCCTGCGATGTGCACGAAGCGGCGTGCTTTGGCGCAGTCGCGCTGCAGATGGGCTTCACTGTAACATGGCACCAGTCCATCACCTTTTGCAAACTCGGAGCCCTCTTCTGCCGCTACTAACAAAGAAGAATTTGGGTTGGGATTTTTGTTGGGTGAAATGCTAGATTATGCCATGTTCTGCTTATCAGACCTTGAACCTTGTTGATCCGCCAGCGAGTGGAAAAAGCAGTATAAAACCTTAGGTGCAGGGAAGTGGACGGGGGAGTGTCGGACTGTGGCAACAGTAGGAAGCTGCGAAGAAGTTCGGCAGTGCAACTCAACTGGTAGGCGTTTGGATCCTGGAGCTAGGTTTTCCACTCCGTTCGAGTGCGGCGGCAAGTTACAACAAGGCACAACAGTCTCGAAGCCTTGGTTCTTTGGTTACGGTTCTGACCACTTCTGCTCATTAGGCCTCGTGCCGTACCACCCTTGCTGTGGTCAAGTCCGCTCTAAAGCCACACTACGGCTGACACCACCTGTACCTCCTGCGGAAGGGACGTGCGAAAGACTCATAGCCCATAGCGGAAAGGGTCTGCGGGTGGGGCAGCACTCTGGTTGGCGGACTGCTTGCCTGAACAAACTTAGTAGAGCGAACTTCAACCGGGTCTTGGGATATTGGGCCATTTCGGCGACGACAGATGCCTGTCCCTGGGCCAGCACTGTCCTCTCTGAAACTCAGAATTCAAAGTCGCCTAACAAGACGAAAGAGGCAGTTCAAGGGCTCAGTGCTGCACTCTAGAGAAATGCTTCCAAGGTGTCTTGTGGCAAGCACATCGTTCGCGACCAGACAGGCATCATCCCCACATCAGCACAACACGCACGAGTGAGAGCATGTTGTGACAGGGAAATTCCTGGGCGACACCGGGCCGGCTGCAAGGCCACAAACCGTGCCAGTGCGAGTGCTGGGACCCTTCGCCGTACACTGCGCCCAGGATGCTTGTCCATGTCGCTCCCACAGCGACCATTGGCACATCGTCAAGCAGAGACCGGCCACTGGAACTGATTACGGGGGCAGGGCTCCATGAACCGCGAGCGCAAAAGTGCAATCCTAGGCAAGGGCAGACCTGGATGTCGTCAGACCAACGGTCCAGTCTTTGGAGGGCTGCTCGTGAGGAAGGCCTGACCTTTTCCGGCAGGCGTTACACGTTGTGCCGGAGGGCCCGTCACGGTGACAGGCATGTCTGTGTTTCATCTTCCTTGTCTTAAGCACGATGGGGCCGATCCTCTTTGACTGGGTCCGGAGCTGACGACGGCCGACTGCGACAAGCAACGACAGCTCTTGCATTCATTTGCCATTTCCCTTGTTCGCCTGCCATGCCTAGCACGCCTCAAGTCAAGGTGAAACGCGGCAATTCTGGGAGCTTTCCCTTCTCCGTGCCAGCGCTGGTTTTCAATGCCTGGGCGATTGATGCTTTCGTAGGCTTTTGCTGGGCTGTGACCCAGGGCTCCAAGAGCGTTCAGCTCCTGCTGCTCGGACTGAGAGCGTCTGCCCAGTCTGCAGTCGTGGAAGCGTGCGACCTGTCATCTATGTGCCCTTGAGCATGAGTTGTGGTGTCACTTAGATGGCGCCCGGATATGGTGTGGCGCTTCTTCATTACCACCTCTTTATTCGTGGCTGGTGACATGAAGCATGGCTGCGTTTTGACCACTATTGACCTGGAAAGTCAGAGGATTTGACGGTTTAAGGGAGTCTAAGGCTCAGCTTCATGTCGATCGAGCACCTGGATGTGGGCACTTTCAGCCTGGTTGGGAAGGCTTCCTGTGCATCATACCAACTTCTATGGCGCGCGGAAACTTGTGAGGCGCTGGCCATCATTTTGACAGTCCTCTTGTCCAGACTGGTTCTGAAGAAGGGCCAAAGCCTGCAGCTCCTTTGATGCAGATAACACACGAGTTCCATTGATGCTTTGGTTGGGCCGTGCTTGAAGGCAGTACTCCCTGGTGGCTGCCGTCGCAGTGGCGACAATGTTTTTCTGCCAATCCGAAGTCGTTGAGCTGCGATTGAGTTCTTTCAGAGCGCCGGAGGTCTCAAAGCCTTTGCTGCAAGGCTGCAAGCCCTTGAGCCTGTGAGGTCCAAGCACGCCAGGCAACCAACCTGGCCAAAGTCTTAAGGCAGCGGCAAAGTCAAGAACAAAGGGTCCTCGAAGATGGATGAGCATGCAGCAAGCGTCGTTTGCACACCCTGTTTCCTACTGTTCCTCTGACTCCATGCGTTCATGAAGCGCTTATTCATGTGGCCAGGAGCCCAACGCAGGCTTCGATGTCTTGGTACTTGGGCCTGGCTGAACGATCCACTGCAGTCTTTCTCACATCATTTGCGGCCGTCTTGCAGGACGCGTCACAGACACGCTAAGACTCTAAGAAGAGTTTATCCTTGTTGTGTTGATGCGTTGGTGAACCGCAGGAGCAGCTGCTCACGAATCGGCCCGGAATTCCGTTTATGGTCCAGCAAAGCTGGATGAGCTTGGCTGCAATGACTCTAAGCCTTCTCACTTTGAGGTTTGTGCATGGCCTGCCTTTCTCGGCATTGACGGAGGGCTTCGGGCACTGGCGAGTCCTTGTGCTTCTCTTCTCCTACGTCGCTAGCGGCCTCACCACTGCGCTGATGGTGAAAAAACTGGGCGCCATCGCCAAGTCTCTTTGCGTCCCGATTTACCTGGGCTTCTGCTATGCTTATGCCGTCTACACTGGCTCTGCATCGAACCTTGACTTCAGAGTCAGAGATGTGCTGAGGTAAATGCATTAAGACAGGCTTGAAAACGTCACGTTGACCGAGGTTGACACTTCAGGTCCTGGCAGCCTGGACGGCGAGCACGGCCTGCATCCTGCTCTACGCCATTTCCAAGATCAAGGCGCCTCAGAGCGAGGTCTTGAACGAGCGAGCAAAGCGAGCAGAGCAACCGACCCCCAGTGCGGCTTCGCCCATGGATCCATCGCCGGAAAGCACCTCGCTAGAGCGCCAGCGCAGTGAGGATCCGGCAAACACCTGTGAAACTGCCTTCGGGCGTGGCGTTGCCTTGCCCTTGACACCATCATCTGCAGAGACGGTCAACGACACAGATGCGAGCGCAGACGGATCTGAATCTAAGCGTGAGACTTAAAGGAGGCTCAGTGAGCTGATCACGAGGAATTGGGCCCTACAAAGTGGAGGGCCAGAATTTCTACCGCGGTCTCCGCACTCCTGGCCATTGGTGCGAGAAGCCACCGGGCGGTGAGTGAGTGCATCTAAAAACGGACATGGAAAGGTTTCTGCATGAGATGTTGAGACGTTCAGGCTTTGGCAAGGGGCCCCGATTACAAAGGGTGCATAAGTCACATATCCCATTGTGCCAGGAGTGAGGAGGTTCTCTACACGGAACGCAAGGCTGCATCACGGCTGTTTGGAGAGTGCCTTGGTCTTTCGGTCCTCCTTGTAGGAGTTGGCCTTGCGGGCGGAATTCCTGAAACAGGCCAGATAGCTCCGTCAAGCTTTCCTGCTTCTGGTCATGCTGCTAAGGAACTAAAGCAGCTGGAAGCCACTGATGCTGAAGAGGCAACCAAGAAGCGCCCAATGCTCAAGGCAACCTTTCGCAGATCCGTCTTTCCTTTGCGTTTTGCAGCCTGTGCAAATCTCAGGTATAGACACTTCTGCGCAATTGCTCTATGCTCAGGCTCAGAGCGGCCTTGCAGAGAGTCACAACCTGTGAAACCTGCTTAGGTTGCGCACCTACGACGCGGTCCGTCAGAATCTACAGACATCGCAGGCCCAGAGGGATGAGGCCGCATGACTATCCTTGCTCCAGCATCCCGCCCGTCGGTTCGGCGAGTGTAAGAAACCAAGGTGAGGCATCTTCGAGAACAAGAGCTGTTGGCTTTGCAGCAGCAGATCCAGGCGCTCTGCAAGTCAAACCTCACACTTGCTCACCATGCGCATGCTGTCGCTCATAGGCACGAATGGTTGGTTTGCAAAGCTTCGCGGACAGTTGTACTTCTCAGCAAAGGGATCTCGAGGCCTCTTGCATCCGCACAGAAGATGTGTATGCTTCGATATTGATTGAATGGTGCAGGGAGAGCTCAATCAGTCGCAAGACAGTATCAAGCTCCAGCTTCAGCACATGGACGAGGCAAGATGGATGCCTGCGTAAACTACGAAGAAGCCACATGCAGTTTGCGTGCGGTGTGCAGGTTCGGGCCGGCATTGACAAGGAGATTGATGAACTGGATGAAAGAAAGCGCCAGCTCAGGCTGCTTGCATAGCAACATGGCCCTTCTGTCTACTGACTGGTCAGAGGATCGAGTTGGACACAGTCTCCCGCCAGCTGGATGAGGCAACCGAAAAGCGAAGCGAAGCCAAAAGCAAAGCCTTCGGGCGCCGCTGTGTGCCGAGCAGGCGCGAATGAAGCAGAAACAGCACATGGAATCCTGCGATCGGCTGGGGCCCCGCTTCGACCGCCATGGCTTCGCAATTCATGGGCGTGATTTCTGCATTTCTGCATGTGTGTCACTCGTTTTTTGTTGTGAACCTTTCCCAAAATCCGCAACGGCCGCTCCGTCTGCGTTGCAGTCACATTCGTAGTCAGATGGATTCAAAGGCAACGGGCTGAGTTCTACCACACGAAAGCCGCACTGAAGGATCGCGCACTTCCGGGTTTAGCTCTCGGGGCAGGTTAACGGTTAACGGCTGTTACTGGCCGATGTACTAACTGTGCTGTCGGCAGGAGAAGTTGGATGCGGCAAACACGGATGGCGCTGCCAAGGTGCGGGGAAGGGAGCCGCATTGATTCACATTGACATGTACTTCAGATAAACGGATGTGTGAGGAAGCCTGGTTGGTGTCAGCAGCTTCCGAATCCCTGGGAGAAGTTTTTGGTTTATCCGTTTACTCATGCAGTGGCTAGGTAGAACACCTTTGCGATAGCACGAGACTGGTAATGCAGAGCATCAACGAACGCTGTCAAGGATGAACATACAGCATCATGCCCAGAATCGACCATGTTCCCGCACCTTCTGTTGAATGTATATCGGGGGAAGTTTTGCACATCAACGAGGTCAACAAATTCGAATTGAAGTATCCTGTCCAGAGTGAGTATGCTCCGGCATGTGTTTCGCATGCCTTGCAACAAGTCACATTATCTAAGGCGACGCTTGCAGCAGCATCTCCTGACAGACTTGTCGGTTTCATGTTCAATTCAGAGCTATTTGACTGCTAGAATCTTCTAGAACACGCGAGAGGAAGCTGATGCCCAAATAGATTGCCGTCGGGCTCGTGCTACTGCAGGCCAAGGAGAAGGAGCTGCTGGACCAAACGAGGCAGGTCTCAGCTTGCAGGCAACAATTGGTGTCGAGATGTCCGACCGCCATCCACACTTGGGTAAGCCAGGGAGATGTAAGTGCGCGCTTGTGAGCCGAGTGTTCAAGCTATTGCAATCCGTTTAAAGAATGCTGCAAGCTTAACAGGTCCACCGCTTGCCCATCACATTGCAAAGGTTCTTGCGACCTCTGAAAAAACTCAGATGTAAGCTGATTTCGCCCAGTCGGCAAAGCCGTTGCGCTTGCCCTGGCCGTTCACCCTGGGAAGCGTTTTAGCAAGCCTGCGATGTGCCCGCCTCCCGGGCCGGAAGTTGGGTCAAGTGATGCACCTTCCCGAACCTTGAAAGGCAGAAGGGCTTTCCAGCCTCTTCTTCAGCAGTTGCTACATGCCTGCCTGAAGTCACTAGGGCCACTAGGGTAGGCCCTACATGCCGGCAAGCTGTGACGTTAGGACCACAGCATGTGGAGTCCCGGATTCGTGTTACTACCGGATGACGTGCTGGTGTTGACATTGATTCTTGAGCGAGCCATCGGGTGGCAGAGATCCCCTTGAACATCTCGAGAGTTGTCTTCGCTGAACACTCGACTCTGATAATCTCTGATGCAGGCAGCTGATCGAAGAGACGAGCGTCGCTCTCCAGTTTCTGGGCTCAGACCTCTCCGCCTGTCATGTCCAGCAACAACACAGTGACCACACGGTGACCACACAGGGCCACAGTCCGCGAGCAGACGGAAGAGTTAAAGCAGAAGCAGGCACAAAAAGCGGGTCGATCAGGCGAGAGTGGTCTTCGTATCGCTTTCTGTGGCCGGCTAGGCCGAGTTTCAGAGCCATTTCAAGTTGCTCTTACTCGATCACCTTCGTTACGCAGAGGTGCGGGTTTCCTCACACACACGCACAGCCTCAGCCTCTTGAAATCTTCTGAGCAGGGAAGAGCGAAGGACCTGCAAGCCGAGGCCCAGAAGGCCGTGGCATCGCAGGAGCTCAGGGCCTACACTCACTCCCCAGTTGCACCCACACCACAGTGAAAAAGCTGTGACCCGATCCCCGCCCATCCTTGCAAGAGCCCCGGAACTCGAGAGGACCCCGGCGCCAAAGAAGCAGCCCGGGCAGCAGCACAGGGAGCTGCAGATGCGCTCCGACCTCAGCTTGTCCCCACATGCGAATCGCCAGCATAGAGCCTTCAGGAGCCTTCTCAAAATTATCGGTTAAATCTTGTATGATCTTCAGAGGTTTCTTGAGATGCCACATCACCTGTGGCCGACTTTCAGTCCAGGAAGTGTGGCCATGATTTCTCCGGGCTCTTTACCTGCACAGCGCAATACTGCGTGACAATTTCCAAAATGCCGTACTGTGTCTCATTTTGGCGCGTGGTCGCAAAGTGTCAGCAGTTTGCACTGCACCGATCCTGGATTGAAGCTAAGGCGTCGTGAATGGAGTCTTCCGTGGATCTGACCCCCCAGCATGTACACCAATTTCACAGCTGGGCGGGTGACCGGGTGACCATGAACAGCGGCGTTTTGCCTTTCGTCATTATTCCGGTATTCCGTCTCAGGCAGTAGTACTCCTCAAGCCTTTGGAGAGCGTTTGAAGAGGACCCCTTGTGAAGAAACCCGTCAAGACAGCACATACGCGGCCCCATTCCGCAGTTCGCTCACCAACGCACGCTCCCATGCTGACAGCTGTACTTTTTGGTGATTCTTAGGCCTTAGGCGATGCCAGGTTCTGCTAGAAGTTGTCTCAAGGCTTGACGAGCTCTGCAAGGACATTGATTTTCTGGGCGACTCCAGTGTGAAGGCACGACAAAGCGTCCTTCAGAGGGTGCCTTGCCCCGCTGGCAAGCGCGCTCTTCCAAGGCACAGCTTGAGAACCTGAGAGTCGCACACAGTGCCACCCTGGCCCTCCTCGGTGTCCAAAGCTCAGCCACTTTTGAGAGCCTCAAAGGACTCAAAGGCCCAGACCTGCTGGGCTTTGCGAGGCGCCAGCCAGCGCGGCTTCCGCACCGGCCACCGCCACCGCCTCGTCCGCAGCGGCGGAGGTGCGGCCTAGGCCGTCGTAAGCACGGCAGACGTGACTCTCACCGCCGATGTTCAGGCGCCCTATCCGTCGCAGTCTGCAGCTCAGTCCTCGCAACAGGTGCCGATCATTTGAGATCGAGTTTCATGTACAAAGAAAAGGGAAGATGAAGTCCTGGCCGCTCAACGAACCAAAGAGTTGCTTTCATTGACTTCACCTTCCTTTGCAAGATCTCGTTTCACGCAACCAGCTGCAAAAGCTGGAGATCATGGTAAAGTAAGTGGACGGGCACTTTGCAGCTAGCTTGTGCCCTTCATGTCGGCTCTGCCACTTGAACAATCGCATTGTGATCGCGCCATAAGTGATTCGCGGTGCAGCTCATATTTTACGCTGCGGTGCTGCATTGCACCTGCATACACTTGAACTCTCCTGCGCAGCTTGTGGACGGTGAGTCCTTGCGCGCCTTCTCGCACCGCCAACCCTGCCATAAGCTGTCGGAGCAGGCTCTGCATTGCCTACAGGCTTGGAGTGTGCATAGGAGAAACTCGCTGAAGTGTCGGCAGGCTGCGAGGCTCTACTACCGACAGGCAAGGCTACGATTTCACGTCTCGGGCCTTTTGAGTTTGGAGCTGAGGTCGTCGAGGGCGTCTCTGTGTGCCACGAACGGCTTGTCGCACATAGAGATTTGAAGCCGGGCCTTGAGTCGAGCGCTGAAGCCTACTGATTTAGTGCCTCCGAACTGCAGGCTCGAGAACGTACTGCTCGACAAAGGTGCCGCTCAAATTCTCGTTGGTGCTACACCTTAATGAGATGACACTCGCAAGGTCGAGAAGGTGTGAAAATCATTGATTTCGGCTTCGCAGCACACGTGTGCGACCAAGCTCGATGAAGAGGAACACTGATAGGTTCGTAAAGTTTAGAATCGGGGCAAGTCACAACACCTGCAGAAGCTGCAAGGTGCCTAGCAAAGAAACAAAGCTGAAAGCCTTCTGTGGCACACCATCGTGCCTCCCCGCTGTTATGACGTGACTTGAGCGCTTCTTGCCTGTAGCTTGTGGAAAGATGAGCACTTGGTGTTGCCAATGCCCGCTTTCAGTCCAAGACTCTTGTACTGCTAAGCGACAAGACAAAGCATTTGGCCAGGCCGGTGTAGTTTTTGTAGCTGTAGGGTCAGACGATGTCAAAGATCTTGTCACGACACGTAGAAAATCCTTCCGCCACGCATGGCCGAGATTGACGCCATATTGTTGCTTGTCAGCAGTAGTGTTGTAGCAGTGGCACATGCCGCGAAGGATGCACTTTCCCCGCAAAGTTGCGTCGCAGGTTTGATCTGGATGATACGCTCTACCCCGTGAGCACGGGCTTCTCAGATCATCGGAATGGCGAGGCATGCCACTGTTGATCTCACATCGGATGTGGAACTAGTTCGGCATCCGTTTCGGCCTGAGCGTGCAAGATGCAAACTGATTTTGTGCTTTTGGGACAAGGGCCTCTAGAGGCTGTGGCAAACACCGTGTAGAAACAGCAAAGTATAGGTTTTCGAGATAAGCATGCAGGTGTGTGTGTGTGTGTGTTCTTTGGCTCTAATTAGTCGTAAGTCTACAAGTGACTGGCGGACAAGCCTACATTGTCTCATGACATGATTGTGTTGGAAACACATCATGGTCGGGGCATTGAGCATAATTTGTGCAGGTAGTTTGCAAGTTCATGGTGGACTACCTGGGCTTCGATTCCATGCAGTCTGCAAAGGCGTTACGAGATGAGTATTTCCAGCGGCACGGCACAATCTTACTGGCGTTTCTGGCTCCATGTTATATCGCTGAGCCTTCTCAGCACAGCCTATCAGGCGTTATCACTCGACGATGAAAGGACTCAACGTGGCCATGGAGGATTCACAGCTCTGGCGTAGTGCTGGTGCTGCTACACCGAGAAATTATTGTCATGTTGAGCAGGAGGGCCGATTGCCCAAGCCTTTCCAACAGGAGAGCTGCCTAAACTGCTTGAAGCTGCCGCAAGCCTGCCGGGTGCCAGGAAGATTTGGGCCAATTCTGGGCAGATCACTGTGACTTTGCCAGGCGCCACCGCACCGAAGACTGCTTGAAGATGCCAAGCGCAGCCCTGCAGCAGGTTCATCCATCCAGACCCTGAGCAATTCCAAGTGATCCACAGCCTGGCTCAGGCATCAAATCACGTCAGAAGGCATGCAGCCGGTCCGAAGTCATCTCGCCCTCAGGTGGGTCTCAAGCTCGCCGTGTTCACAAACTCGCCGCGCAAGTGCTCCTCCGCCCGAATGCTGTCCACCCCATTTCGATTTCTCAGAGCGATACCAGAGCTAATTCTGATTCCAGGTATGCTTTGAGCTGCTTAGACAAACTGGGCCTCCGTACACTCTTCCCTGACGACCGTATCTTCGCTGTGGAGGCAGGGTCACATCCAAGAAGCATGCTGTTTCAGATCTTTGAACTCAGCGGAGGATGTGCTCCCTGCCTGCAAGCCTCAGCCGGAAGAAGCACGGCTGAAATTAGTCTTCATACGCTCAGCCCGGTGAGTCAAATCATTGGAGCGTTTAGCGATTCCTTTGCTCTCGTCGCCCTGTCTAACCTTCCGGTCTTTCGGGTTTTGATTGCATGTCCGCTCGCTTGTTTCTGGAGATGCCCGCGGCTGCATTGTGCTGCTATCCGAGAGACACTGCCGACCATTTCAGTTTTATGGTTTTATGGCAAGGACGAGAATGGGCTGGCGCAGCTGTTCTTGAGTCCTCCGGCAAATAGGATGTTGGCGGGTAGCAATCAGGACTGGAGCTACAAAGGGTTTGCAGTGATCCCCAATGCAAGAATCGTAATTTGGCATGATGTTGCTTGGACCTGCCGTCTATAACCCTTTCATTTGTCAGAAGTTGAGCGAAGATCTGCCAAGACGACTGATAAGATGTTTGTTCTGACGACACAGCCTGGCAAAATGAGGCATTCAAGCAAGTGCTGGAGAGTATTGGGTCCTGTCCGGAAAAGACTGTCATCTTCGAGGACTCGATGAAGAACATTCGCGCATGCAAGGCCCACGTGTAGACCAGGGGTGGCCAAGGCAGATTCAATGTGTGACTTGCGTCGGCAGAATCCAGAGATACTTGTGCAGGGTGGAAGCGAAACGTTCGCGCAGTGTCTGGCACGAAGTTCGCAGAAGACTTTGCGAGTAACAAAACCTAAAGTAAACTTCGTGGCCATCATAAATAAACGCGGCTATGCAACTCAAATCCGAAGAAAATATTGTGTCCGGCAAAAGAATCAAACAAACCCCAGACCACCACTGCCCGGGATGCCCATTTCAGACGCTCACCCAATATTGCTTGCCACTGTAAACCGCCTGACATAATTTCAATCAACAGAACTTCCTACTAACTTCGTTTGGCAACAGACTTGCCCCCCTGATTCAACCTATCGCAAGCGCAAGCAAGCGATGCGAGGTGCAAGTTGTTTCACACTCATGGCCCATGCACTTGCGTACGGCGTTCACGATGAACTTCGCAAGGTTGAAATATTTAGACAGCTATTTATCGAGTGATGTGAGGCAACCGAGGTTTCGCTTCGTGGATTAAAGCCTCATCGAGGCTTGGGTGAGGCGAGGTCATGTTTGAAACAATGCGGAAACGTTCGCAGCTTACTTCTCGGAGCCGTGTGCACGCAACATTTGGACTCGATCTTTCCTGAAAGCCCCTAAACCTTTTTGAACACGTGGGTCACACCGGGTGGAAGAGGCATAATCGAACAGTCATGAGTCGTCTTGATTTAATCCTGTGCAATCATGGCTGTGCCTTGCAGGCCCTGGGCATACGTACCGTTCTCGTAGATGAGTTCAAGGCACACCTGACGAGTGGTCCAAGAAATACGGAAGTGAGGCCTCTTTCCAAGTGGCTCTGCAGGGTGGTGCTACGGGTGCGGCAGCAGGTCCGGAAGATGACCCATGCGGCTACGAGACAGTACCTCTGAATCGCTGAGGCGAAGCAGCGCTGCTGCACGACATTCCAGAGCATGCTGACCCGGCAGTGGATGTGGTGATCAAGGCAAGCGGCAAGCCTTCAAAGATTGTGAGTCTGAATAATGCACAGGAGAGGAGCGCAGGGTATTCCAAGTGTATGAATGTGTGTGTGTGTGTGTGGGTGTGTGTGGGTGTGTGTGTGGGTGTGTGGTGTGTGTGTGTGTGT